CGACGACGACGACTGGCGGGCGCCGCTCGCCGCCGCCATGCTGAACATCTTCCGCTCCATCCCCACGCAGATGGTAGGGCAGCCGCCACGGGAGGCCCGGCCGTGCCCGGGCCCTCGTCCCCTTGTCGCCACTGGCGACATGGCTGCCTGCGGGTTGTGGCCTTCCCCTTCCTCCGTGCGGTGTTGGCACCCGCGCCTCAGGAGCTGCTGCTGGGGCTGCGGGGTGGTACTCCGTGCAATTTCGATTTTTTGGCCTGAAAAGTCGAGCTTTAATGTGCTGTAAAATGAAGGCAATATACAGTGTGCAAGGGAAACCCCTCTGTACTTTTCTGCCTGTGCTATATACAGCGCCAGAAGGCAAAGTGTTTTCATTGAAAGCCATGTTAAAGTCATGCAAACACAGGTGACATACATATCGTATCCTCTCAAGCATATATTCTCTTTTGTGGTATTATGGCTTTTACATAGTGATATCAAGCTAACTACGATGATACTTTGAACTTGCATTACTTATCCTGAACAAACAGGGCTTGCTATTACTTTTAGATGATGTGGTCAGGACTATAGGGCAGGTCTTAACGTGAATTAAGAGCTTAATTCTTTTACACTTGAAATCCAGAGACTGTAAGAAAGATAATTCCAGTCTGGTTTGAAAGTTGAACAAAAAAGCTGAGAACCTGTGATCAGGCTGACTCTAGGCTCTAACATGAAAGACTTCAACTGGTACATTTGTGTTTTGGATAACTGACAAAAAAATGTCTCTTTCCACAGGACTACAAGGGCCAAAAATTAGCAGAACAGATTTTTCAAGGAATCATTCTTGTCTCTGCAGTAAGTATACTAGAACTATGGGTGACAACATAAAGGACTTTATTTTGTTTTCTGATCTTACAAACGAGGGGTTTTTCTGATTGTTTGGCTTAACTGGGTCACTAAAAGCTTTAGACAAAATCAGAGGGGCTGTCGTGGATTAAGACTTTTCTTCTTTTAATCTTTTACTTTCATTATTGGCCTACAATTTTGAAAACAAGGTTAGAAAGATGTATGAACTGTGCTTTTGAAAAACCTGTATTTTTCTACTTAACTTCTCCCCACCACGCCCAACTTAATCATGGCATGGGAAATGGTTTTTTTGTTTAAAGTTTGATTTTTTTAAAAAATTTTTTTTCAGATAATTGGTTTCATCTATGGATACATCACTGAACAGTTTGGATGGACTGTCTACATAGTTATGGCTGGATTTGCTTTATCGTGTTTGGTAAGAATTTTTTTTCCCCAAACCAGAAAATACATGCACTATTTAATCTGAAATAATCATTAAATTAAGGGGCTGTCAGCACAGACATATGTTTGCTATATAATTCAGATTGTTAATAAATTGTTAGTACTTTCTTTGATCTGTAGAAAGTGCTTTACAAGCCAGTAAGTGCCTTTTCCCAAATGCTACTAAGATCTTAGAGAACACTGCGATTTAATACTGCTATGTAATATTGAATTTTCATTTCAATTAAATGTTACTTTTAAGTCAAGCTGATAGCATTGATAACAGAAAGGACAGTAAGGCTTTCTGTGGAGTAGTAGCTTGTCACAAAAATTTTGCAGCTGGCCCATGCCAACCGAGGAGAGAGGCTAGGACACAAAGTATAGAATTACAAGAGTAATTCCTTATTCATACACATCAGGTGTCTTGTTCCAGTACGGGCCGACCAAATGCAGTTTTAAACATAGTTCTTATACCTTTCAAGCGTTCAGATACAACATGATTTGACCGATTGCTACTTAACGCACACATACTACTGTTTTGAAAAGCCACTATAATTCTATCACCTATCATCCATCGGCTTCTTTCTTGATCTAAACGTCCCTGGAGTCAGTCTTGCTACAGTTACTTATCTATGATGCCAGATAACGGGAGAGTTTCACAGAGGCGTTAGAGGGACTGGGATGCTGGCGTTACCACAGTCGTCCAGGGGTATCCTTTTTTCTGCAGGGTGGGTGCTGTCATCCTCCTCCTTGCAATGAGCTGGGGTCCTTTAGTCATGCTTAAGTAATGTAGTATACAATGTAGACATATATCTTTATAGTATGAAATTGTATGAACTTTAAGACTAATTGGTACAATAGTTAGGGAATGAGATTTTCCTAACAAGCTGTACAAAACGCTTATCTAGGATCTTGATTTACATGTTCTGACTTCATTCCTTTTCTCTAAGCTAACACTCCCTCCGTGGCCTATGTACCGCCGCAATCCTCTGAAGTGGCTACCTGTCCAGGAGTCGGGAACAGAAGAAAAGAAGCCAGCAGACAGAAAGCCAAAGAGACATGCTAAAAGCTAAAAAAAAGTCATTCTTCATGCTGTTAATTTGTTAAATTTTGTTAAATGCATTTCCACTGGGAGATAATTCTTGGCTTAGTGTTTGTGTGTTTGTTTTTTTTTTTCTTACTACTTTGTATACTGCCATGAGTACACCAAGATCTACAGAGAGCATGAAGGCTCTCTAAATTTTGGCTGGAGTTTCAGTGAAGTCACTGGGAAGGCAGGCATGGGGGGGCATTAACTTTAGAAGGCTACTGGAGGTCACATCTCACTCAAGTATTTTAGTAAAAAGGAATAGAGCAAATCAAATTAAGTCTAGTTAAGCTGTTGCCATAGCCTGAAAGATCATCTACAGCTGGACTTCTACTAAAATATTTCTAACCATGTGTAAAACAAGCTAGCAGTAGTGTCAGGTTGTAACAAGTACTGTAGAACAGTACATACCCCACCTAAGAATTGGAAAGTGTTCTAGGATAGGAGATTACAGAGTAGCATTTTTTATTTAAAATAAATTTGCCCAGGTAGAGAAAGTAACAATCTTGACTCTGCATAATGCCATAGCTCTTGAAACCTTGTAACTTGAGCATCTGGTATGTGAGAGGCAGCAGGATCCACAGGTACTGCACTTTTTTTACTACTGACTGCCATGTTAGTCTCCCTCATAGGTGCTGGAGGTTACAATATTTAAGCTGGAAGCTGGAAAAGAGACAGGTTGTGCATTTAAAATTTTATTTTACAAATTAGATTCCCTTTTGACTTCTTTATCCTTTAAAAAGAACACATGCTTTTTCTGTAGTGCACATAACAATGCCTGGGCACAATCTAGATGCAAAGAAAGGGAAAAGCTAAGACACCTATTTCTCTAAGTGACTCTGGTCTTGGGCACTTTCATTCCTAAAAGGAATTATTATTTGTAAGGCAAAGGGATTTCTCCAGCTGGGACCATGGTAACCATGGCTGTGTTCCTTTCAAACATCTTCAGGCTGATTTTATCCAGTTACCCAATACTTTCCACCACCTTGGTGATTGCCTTAGCAGTGAGACACAAAAGCAAGGGCTCTGCTTAAAAGCAGTACAACCACCCCCTTTAGCACTTTAACTTGGCAATTTACAGAACCTGGAGGGCTTCTGGTGCTACAAAAATTAGTAATTGTTTCTGCCTGCTACATTTTCACAACTATTTGATGGAATAGCTTATAACCTATCACACCATAGCCTTGGCATAGATTTTGTTACCATATTTAGTATATGACCATACCAAAAACCTTTTGCTATGACAAATTCAAATCAAACCATCTTTTTTTTTTTGACACTCCTTTGTATACAAAACTTGGTATCCGTCCCTCTTTGCATCTATAAAAAGCAACTTTTTAAAAGTTTCATTAAGAGAATAAAAACTAAACTAAACAGTTTCTCTTCCGAGAAAGCGATAGCCTGGTTCACATTTTAACATGAAAAATATTACTACCAACTGTAACCTTTTTTTGCAAGTTCACCTCCTTATTCCAGCAAAGGAGGTCAATGGATAAACGTGTTTTGTAAGCTGGTCCAATCTATCAAATGAGCTATAAAACAGTCCTTTTCTCTAAGGAAAAAGTTCTGGTCAGAATTTCACATTTTCTTCAAGAAACTTCAGATGGCGTGCCTTCACACTGTAACTTGCATACTTGTCTCCCATGTGCTCCCGCAACTGCAGCTATTTAGAACACACAAGAAAAACCCACAAAATTCATTGACGTTGCAAAAAGCAGGAACTACCAAAATATTAAGAAAAAAATTACCAAAGCACTCAACTGAAAGCAGCACATGAAATTTGACAACATAAATGGGAGGGAAGAAAAACGGAAGAGTCTTTGTTGTCTGCAGGCAAGACAGTTCCAAATCTCACCCAACAATTTAAAATATAAAGCAGATCCTCACAGGTTATACTTACCCATGCAGTATTTTATTTGTAACCAAGGTTTCAATCAAATGAACTGGAGAACTGGAGGTATTGCTCACTCACCTCTATTAGGAATAGACATTAAACCGTTTCTCACTTTGGACGTAAAGGGCATTAGGCATGTCAAGGCAAAAAATTACAGTTCAAAATAAATTACTATTAGAGAAATACCACAGAGTAAAATTATTCGCATACTTTGCATCTTCCACAAACTCAGGGACCATGGTAAAATTCTAAAGCTCCTGTGCTTTCTGAAGAATTTGTGGTTGAACATAGTCCACATTCAGAATCAAACTTTTTAAGATTGAAAATGACAATATAATCAGGCCGTTGCCTGCCAATGACTACTTAACACTTTTTGGAATCAAGGTTTGCACTACTGTATCAATATCTAAAAAGGGGAGGGGAGTAAAGACCCTGCTTATTTATCTAGGTTTATAAAGAAATAATTTTAATATGAAAGACATTCACCTCTCTTTTCACTTCATCGTCTTCTTCCATGATGCTGTACACCTTCTCAAGAAGTTTCACTCCCAATCCTTGCACCACATCAGATCTCAGGATTTCAACCATTCTCCTAATCTTGTCAGGAACTGATATGATATCTAGCAAAAAAAAAAAAAAAAAAAAAAAAAAAACAATGCAGAAAAAATTATTTTTAGTAAAACCCGTTTT